TGGTCCTTTTAAAATTTTAAAGCAAGTTGGTCCAAATGCATATATTGTTGACATTCCATCCCACATTGGTTACCATCATACTTTCAATGTTGAAGACCTTGTAGCTTATAAAGGCCATTTCATTCCCTCAGATGATCCCCTGTTACCTCCTTTTGTGGACCTTGATCCTAATTCTTTGGCCCCCTCTAACCCACTACCACCTCTCACAGCACACACAGATAAAATTGATGCTATTTTAGATGAAGAAACTGTGTTCACTAATGATGGAGAGGTTCAGCGCTTCCTTGTTCGTTGGGTTGGTCGACCAGATTCTGATTGTGCATGGATCTCCAGGGAGACACTACAGCATTTGGATCCAGATTTGCTAGAGCTTTATCGGAGTCAGCAGGATCTTCCTTGGCCCAGATCGCCTCCCGTCCACCCGAGGGGAGTTGGTGAGGACACCAGGTTCAGACCGCCACTGACGCATTTCTACAAACGCAGGAAGAAGCTTGCCCAGCCACTCAGCTTATGGTTGGGAGATTGACAGATGCCTATGGTGATATAGCCACTCGACAGGGTCGAGTTTTCTCTCCCACCCCGGGAGAATTGATGAGGACGTCCAATTTTAATTAATTTTAGCAATTTTAATTATTTTAGTTGGAATTTAGGTTATTTTAATTTTATGGACTTTTGTATTGGGCTTGGCCCTAGGTTTGCATTATTTTCCAGTATTTAAACTTATCTTACATTGTTATTTGAGATGATGAATTTGATGAATTAAAGAGTTGGTTTTGCAGCCGTTTTCCCTCTCTGCCCTATTTCTTCTTCTTCTTCCTTCTCCTATATCTCTTCTTGTTATCTCTATTGAGTTAATCATTCTACATCAAGCTGGGTCCAGTTTCAGTTAGTGCCCCGGAGAGGGTACCAATACCTGATGGGTTGGTGCTCAAGGAAAGTCTTAGTGACATTGAAGCAATCTGTAATGATATCAGGTTAACTGTATCAAGTTCATTTTCCCTTGTAAGATCTCATACTGTGACTAATGGAACTACAATTCCTGAACACCCGAGTAAAGAGGAATATGAACCATCGTCTGAGTCTACATCTCTGCTTGCTGAGCATCGCAAGCGGCATGAACTATATTATCTTCCTTCAGAGAATAAAGAAATGATAGCCAATGATTATCCACATGCTCACAAACACAATGATCAGGCTATTGATGAGGGTGACGATCTTGTTAAGCTTACAAAGGAATCGCTTGATCTTAGGAAGAAGCGAAACCGAGCAAAGCCTAGGCCTGTGGTTGTAAAATTGGATGATGGGGAAGGAGCACATATTGCTGCTAAGAAACCTGAGTTAAATGATGATCTGATTTAGGGTGCTGTACGGGAAGTGCTTTTAGGCAATGAAGCTGCATCATCATCAAACAAAGCAAGTAAGAAAAGGGAGAAGAATGAGATAAGTATTGACAGATCTTCTGAATCAAACATGACTGTGACAAACACTGTTGCATCTGAGCCTGGAAATGCAAGTTCAAGAAGAAATAATCACCATAGTGATGCTAAAGAGAAGAAACGTCCAAGTTCAAGAAATGAGAAGAAAGAACATAATCATAAAGACAAGCGGAAGAACGACCATAGACTTGGTAAGCACAAATCAAGTCAGAGAGTTGATGGGACATTGAATGTCGTAGCACAATCACCAGTCATCCCAGATTTTCTTTTATAGCATTGACATTTTTGAGACCTTTGGAAGATGGAGTAATATTCCACCATGTTTCACCTCTTTCAGTGTCAAGGTAACTTCTCGTGTATATAAAGATTGACTTTCCCACCCCATTACCATAATTTGGCTATTATAAAGCTGATAGAGAATATTTTATTTCTCTTTTCTAACATCATGAGCAATCAGTGGATAAGCATTTATGGGATTTTATCTTTCTGGTGTTTGTGAGATGGGAAGTATCTTCAGTTATGATTATTTATTTTTTTTGTCCATTTTTATTTTTTATATTTGTTCCATGTACAGTGGTTGAAGTTTCATTATTTATATTCATTCAATTTGTCTACTGATTATGTGGATTGTGCGAATGAAGCAATACTTTAGTTCTGATTTTAACTGCTTACCTTCAAATTTTAAGCTTTTAGATTCTTTTTCTTTCTTCCCCCTTCACCAGTGTGTATTTCTATTTTGCAAAGCTCCAATTCCTGTAGGGGGAGCACCAATGTGGAAAGAATTTTACTCAGTGCTGAAAGAATTTGATGCAGCACCAATGAGACAGTTAATTGAGAAATAAAACAGATCTATGGGGAGGGAGAGTTAGAGAGGAGAAAGGGAAGGGGATTCAACAGAAGAGAAGAAAGAAAACAAGAAGAGAGAAAACACCATAAGCCACCAAAAATATTTATTCATCATCAACTGAAAATTTCAATGCAAAATAGGTTTAAATAGTAAAGCAACCCTAACGAGCTTGGGCCCGAGCCCATACAAGTCCAAATTTAAATAATAGTCCAAGAAAATAAATAAAGCTTAAATAAAATAAGTAAACGTCGTTTGATGTTCTCATCAACTCTCTTGAGGTGGGAGAAAAACTCGACCCTGTCGAGTTGATAGATAGTATAGGTTGCAGTCAATCTGATACTCCAAATGTTTCAAGCCAAGCCACGGGGGACGATCTTTCTGACCAACCAAGTAACGAAATTCCATAATTGATAGTACTGAAAATTGTAGCTTATTCCCAAGAATATGATCTGACCAAGGGGGCCGATCTTTTCTAACCAAGTACTGATACTGGACTTCAAATAACCAATACTCATGCACCTCATCTTCAACATTTTCACATGATTGTACATAATGAGGAGCATAAGAAGTACGTCGATTTACCCAACAAACAAGGAAGTACTGAATTTTCCCATCATTGGTCAATACAACACGTTCATCTAAAATAACATCAATTTTATCTTTGTGTGCTGTGATAGATGGTATTAAAGTAGAAATATCAATATAGTCAAATTGGGGGTCCACAAAGTTAGGTAGAAATGGATCATCAAAGAAAGTAATATGGTATTTGTAAGTAATGAAGTCCTCAATATTTAAAGTAGAGTGGTGGCTAAAATGTGATGAAAGTGCAATGACATGTGCATTTGAACCAACATGCTTTAAAATTTTTAAAGGACCAGCACTACAAGTTTGCAATATGCCATAATCCCCAATATTAAATTCAAAATATTGTTTATGCGAATCAGCTTGAAATTTATATAATGCATTACTTGCGTCATGTTGTTTATTGATCTCAATATGCAAGTCATGAAGATGATATACAAATGCTTCAGCTGACAACAACACACTAGCATGCGGGGACATGTGAATAAGTTCTAACGATTGCCTAGACTTATAACTATGTACAACTTCAAATAGATTTAGACCTAGAGACCGATTCATGGAATTGTTATATGCGATGTGAACAGTTGGGGGGATCGAGTCCCAATTCTCAAGATTTTTCTGTACTAGAGACTGTAATAAATTGCTAAGACTTCGGTTAGCAATTTCGATTTGACCATCAGTTTGAGATTGGTCAGTAGTGGAGAATTTCGATTTAGTGCTAAGAACAGGCGACTGGATTCTTCAAGGGTGACTAGTGAAATCATCAAACTCTTTGAGTTGGGTAAGGGTATGACATATAACATGTGATCGAGAGTTGTCGGAAGCAAGGGGTATAGTTTCTAAAGTCTCGGGAAGGGTCGGGATTCCACTTAAGGAAGTGTCCTCACTATAATCATCAAAATCTTCAAGTTTAGGGCCATATGCTAGATCTTCTAACGACTCTTCTATTGCATTCTTTCGTTCTTCTATGATTAAGGCTCGGTTAGGACATTTGGAAGAGATGTGGCCAAAATCCTTACAGCTGATACATAGCAAGTGAGAAGTCTTTGGAGTTTCACAAATTATACCCTTATTTTCCAAAATTGGAGGAACATTAGACGGGGGAGGTCCTAGAAGGGATTTAACGGGAGGAAGTGGAGCCACATTAGACGGGGGAGGTCCTAGAAGGGACTTTGGAGCCAATGAAACCGAAAGATGGTTGCCATTACGCTTTCTACATGAAGAAGAAGATCTTGGACTATCACGACCTTTACAATTATTTTTCCAAATAGGAGGAACATTAGACGAAGAAGGTCTTATGATAGACTTATGATGAGGCGACGCTAATGAGATAGGTGAACGACGATGACCACGCTTTTCATATGGAGTACTAATAATGAACTCATAATCTCGAACTAAAGAATAAGCGTGATCAAGAGTAGTGACACCTCGAAGGAAAAGCTCACGCTTAAGATCATCTTTCAGACCTTGGCTAAGCCTACTCAAAGTCATGCTTTCATCCTTAATTAAATGACATTTGGTTCGAAATTCCTCAAATTGCGCGATATACTCAGTCACCAATTGATTTCCTTGTTTAAGGGCATTCCATTGAGTAAGAATTTCAAAATTATCTCGTTCTCGCTTACGAATCTGATCCCTATTCCTACGATCGCGTCGAAAATATTTTTGATCACTTTGTCCACGATGATATTGTCTATTATGAGACGCTTCAGAATTAGTGTCAGTTAAATGAGGGGTTTGCTTAAAATTGCTCAACTTAGCAGCTAGGTTCTTTCTCTCCTCACGAGTAGTAGTTATATCTGATTGGACAGTCGATAGACTAGTGGCAAGTTGCACTAATTGTCTAGTGAGTGCATCAAATTGGGATGGATCCATGGTCAATGTATTGGAAATAGAGATGACAAGACAACCACTATCCAACTACATGCAATGTAATACCAGCTAAATGACGTGCTATGATGAGATCAGTGAATAATACGTGCAAGCAATGAAAAATAACTTGTACCATTTTTTTAATTTAATTTTAAATGTTGGGATTAATTAAATCCAAAACAAGCTAATACTGCTAGTACATGTAAAATGGCAAAGCAAGGGTCAACACTAGTCAAATTCTCCAATCAATTTAAGTGGGGAACAATGGAAGTCAATTCGGTCACTGGTGTCAATTCGATTAATGGTTTTGTTCAAGTGAGATTTAAGGCTAAAATTATCACAATAACAGCAGCACAAGATTTTAGTTGATGCAATTTTAAAAATGAAGCAGTAGTATAAATCAATACTAAATAGAGATCAAGGACTCCCTGTTTTTTAGTTTTGATTATTTGTATGCCGCTTGATCTGAATTGCCGACTTATAAGCCCCAACTATGCTTCTGTTCTTCCCTTCGTGTCCAATGGTTTTAACCTCTGTTGACTGTAACTTGTGCTGGCTCTGGTGTGGACGTAAAACTGAGTGTGGTGACTGTGGCTTTTAGATTGTTGAGATGGATGAGGAAATATATGAGTGTGGTAACTGTGGTGGAAGTGTATGATCTTGGGTTGGTGGTGGTGGCCTATGGCGATGAAGCGGTAGTGCTCTAGATGCCTGGGTACAATAGATAATGAAGTGGTGGCGTGATGGTGATTAGAGGCGGCAGCGGCAAGAGAGTGGTTATGAGAGAGAAATCGGGTGAAACTGTGGGGTATTTGATTTTAATGGATTGGTTATAATCGGGTTTGGTTGGATATTTGGGACTGATCATGGGTTGAATGGTGTTGGGCCGATTGTGATAATATGTGATAAGTGGGTTGGATTTAGTATTTATTGGGCTGAAAAGCAAGTGGATTAGCTAAATAGATGATGAGAGATGGACTGTGCGTTTAGTAGGCTTTGGGAGTAATTTGGGCCACTAGCTTATGGCCCAAGTGTTTTGATAAAAAAAATGAATGGAGTAGGTTATAGAGATGGAATAATTATTAAATTTTGCCATATTCACTTTGTGTTTCCAGCAACATTCGAGATTTTCAAGAATTTCAATCATTGTTTTCTTCCATAACTTGAAAAGGTGCGTCGTTTTGCAAACCCTTATAACCCCCAAACACGCCATTTCACTGCACCACTAAATCACGCCTCAAATTTTTCGCGTCTTTTCCACGATTTACTGTTCATCTTTTGCTTCCCTGCTACGTAACCCTGAAAAATTTCGTTCCATCTCAAATGGCTACTTCACAATCTCAAGCTGGCGACTCCTTTAGTTTTGATGACTTTCAGAAACTTTTGAGCCGTCCATACATAACTCCGAGTTTTCTCGTGCCTGCCGATGTTGAACGCAATGAGTTCTACTTAGGTCCTTTCTTCAACAATGCAGAGGCAGTTGAACAGGCGGCGATGGGTCAGCTGTTTCCTTGTACTCAAGGCCCTCCATTTCTAAATTCTCTACCGCTGGGGCCACTTTGCGAAAGAGGTATTCGCATTTGGCCTAAATCTGATGTAGCTTTCCGTAGGTGGCATGCTCGTCTTGTGGGTCATGGTCCTACTAAGGCACTTTTTGATAGCGCTAGGATTTCTGATTTGCTAGAAATCTCTATTCGCCCCCTACTTTTGATTCAGCACTCTTTTCGATTGCTTTGAGTTTTTGGTCTTCCGAGTATAATAACTTTATTTTCCCTCTTGGCCCCATGTCTATTACTTTAGGGGATGTTGGGGCCGTGGTGAATCTACCACCTTTGGGCGATACCATTTTTCCTAGTATCTTGGTTTCTGGTGGCTCCCCAAAGTTTGGTAAAAATTACACCGAATCTTATTCAAGCCTGCAAACCTTTCACAATCATTTGAGCGCTGAGCCTTCCCATACTGAGCGAGTGACCTTTCTTCTAGTTTGGCTTTGTAAATACGTTTTGTGTGTGCCAAGCATAAAACCCTCCCTGAGTTATTTACCTATAGCGCACGAATTGGTGCGTGGCAGGTCTTTGAATTTATGTTCTTTCTTTTTGGCTGCCCTTTATAGAAGCATGACCTCTCTTCAAACTCAATTGAAAAATGGTGCATCTCCCACTGGCAGTGGACCTCTCTGGTTCACTCAACTGTGGTTGAGATCCTATTTTCCATTGCTTGGTGCTCCATCAATCTCTCGCTCCTCTGCTAGCTGTTATGGGCTAGCCATGGAGCCCTTGGCTC